CTCCCATACAGTGGATCATTAAGGTCTTTCCATGTCAACATACATTTTTTTAAAAGAAACTTTTTACAGTGACCTTATTTTATGGTCTTGTAATTTAATAAGTTTCCGGTAGTGCTATATTTAGGTGGAGTGGGGATTTTCCTCTCCTATCATAAACCTTAATTGAACAACTTTTGCATGTCTACAGTTGAGCTTTCAAAGATAAGTCTAAAATGAAATTCTTGAACCAAGGAAAATGCATATTTTTCAGCTTTTAATATATATTGTCAAAAAGTTTTTCAGGAAGATTGTACCCATTTTTAATCCTATCGGTACCATGTAGGAGCTTCTCTTTCTCTACATTTTTGTAAACACATCAGTTATCATGAAAGAAAACAATTTGCAATTGCTAACCTTGCTCTGAAGAGCTCTGGTGGTGTAGTCCATAATGCCCTGCTCTCTTACCAAGAGGCATGACTCGGGCAGTTCAGATCCACCAGTAGCTCTGAGATAGAAAGATGAGCAGTCCTCTCTTGTTAAGATTTATAGTCTCAGAAACCTAATAAAAAGGGTCACGATGAGTCAGGACTGACTTAGTGGCAGTGAGTGTAAGGATTTGGGGTGCTTTTTTTTTAACCTTTACATTAAACTTGAGATTTAAATTACTCTTGACCAAATCTGTATTTTTAAACATTGAGTTTAAATCTGTTTTTTTAAACAGTGAGCTTAGAAAAATGCTTCTTCCATAACTGTGCTTCACCTGTCTTCTATTACTTGTGGAAGTACCTTCTAGAAGGTTCTAGAAGGCCAGAGTTTGCTTGCTGTGCTGCAACATAGCGAGTAGTCTGTGTGCTCACTGCTGCTGTCTCCCCAGGCCTGTAGGTCTTCCCTGGCTGAGCTCATGAGTCGCACCTCCCTGGACCTGGAGCTGGATCTCCAGGCATCAAGAACAAGGCAGAGGCAGCTGAATGAGGAGATCTGCATCCTTCGAGAACTGAGGCAACGCTTAGAAGACGCCCAGCTCCGAGGCCAGACTGACCTACCCCACTGGGTGCTTCGAGATGAGCGATTCTGTAACCTGCTGAAGGAAGCAGAGAAGCAGGTAAGGGGGACTGGGCTTGCTTCTGTTTTTCATTCATGTCCCAGGGGCTGACTGACTCCTCATGGTCAAGACTCTTGCTCTGGTTGAATTTGGATTCTGAGGTAAGCATCTCGGATGATAACGTCAAAGCAGATATCTTGAGAAAGTCTGTTTCCCCCGTCTGTGGTCTGGGAAGGGCCTAGTAATTGAAATGGCACCACATAGATTGTGAAGCTTTGTTGCTTCTACAAGAGGTGCTGGAGGGAAGGACCTGCAGGACTTCTGCAGCCTTCAGAGTCCATTCCGCACCTCCCCCACGATGGATTGTCCTGGGTGCCATGTAGCCAAGTCTTGACTCCATTCATGAAGTCCCATGAGGCAGTAGACTAGGAAGAGCTTTCTCCTGTCTGTGTCACATAACATATGACAGGTACGGCACGTGCCCTGGGTGCCACTTGAAGGGAAGTACAATTGAGTAGTTTCTATTAACCACGGCTGTTTTCATCAGCTGTGACAGAGCATTCAACAAGTTAACACTAAGGCACACTGTGTGATCTTGTTGTGCTGCATGTAGAAAGAGACAGCCCCAGGGGGAAATTACTTCAAGCATATCCTAGACCAGTTGGCATCAGTGAAAGCAAGGAAGGCACAGTTGTAATTGTCATGTCAGGTCATCATGTGTTAAGCAGAGGAGCAACGAGTTTGACTTATGCTTTTGAGCTGATATTAAAATTACCTAAAGGGTAATGTCAGCTATTTGGATAAGGGTGCATTTTGAGTAGAATTTTTTTTCTGGTGTTAGTTCCTTCCTGGGCTCTAGAGATAGGAGTGGATTCATGAATTTTTTCCTGAAAAATAAAAATTCTTCTTTGCTAATAAAATGTTGTTCCAGACAAGACAGACCAAAGTTGAGCATCATCAAGAGCAGGCAGCTGAGAAGATGCTGAAGAAAGCCTCCAAAGAAGTCTACCAGCTGCGAGGGCAGAACCACAATCAGCCCGTCCAAGTGCAGAATTTTAGGTACGGGAGCTGGTAAACTGTGCTGGACCTCCCCTTCGTATTAAACACAAACAAATGAAACTGAAGATGTGGAGAGCTGAAAAGGAATCTGCTAGAACCTATGGCCCACAGCTGTGAGCATTCTGAGGCTTTCGTCTATCTTTTTTTCCTGTGCACTATTCTTTTCAGCTGGAATATTTTATGGAGCAGCTATGGTTTCCTTAACTATTCTGTTTTATAAGATGTTGCTTCTTTCCAAATGTTTGCTATTGCAAGTAATATGGTGATTACCATACATATGTATGTATGGCCTTATTTGCCTCTGAAGCATGACAGATGTGCATTTCACATGTGTCTAGTTTCATGAAACTAAACATCGAAAGAACCAAAACACTATCAGAACTCCCATGCACAGCTTTTGTTTTTATATGAAGGAAATGGCTTTTGTTTTTATATGAAGGAAATGGCAGAATGAAACCTATACCTTTGTATGCTTACGTTGTTTTTGTCTTAAATTATGAAATTCATAGAACCTAAAGTTAACCACTTAAAAGTCAACGGCTCAGTGGCATTTAGGAAATTCACAATGTTGTGCCAATCACTTTGATTTAGCTACATAGCATTTTCATCACGCCAGAGGGAAACCTCATGCCCATTGGCAATGGATCCCATTTCCACCAGCCCCAAGGCCCTGGCAACCACTAATCTACTTTCTGTCTCTGGATTTGCCCACTCTGGCCATGTCAGATAAATGGGCACAATCATACAATGTGTGGTCTTTTTTCAGTGGCTTCATTTGGTCAGTGTAATGGGTTTCAAGGTTCCATCCACAGGATAGTAGCCTGTATAGGCACTTCATTTCTTTTTTTTTTTTTTTTTAACTTCATTTCTTTTCATGGACAAAGAACACGTGCCTGACTTGAAGCTTTACTTTCTGTATACTTTTAACCTTTCTGTCCCCATCAAAAATGGCATAAAATACTATATCTTTCTTTTTATTAATTTTAATGAAAATTTACAGAGATTTTGGATTTCCATTCATTCATTGTTGCACTTTTCTCCCTGCCCACCCCTCCCCTCCAGTTTGTTCTTTTCTTTGAAAAGTAAAAGAAAAATTCTTTCATTGTTACACAATCCCTTCCCACAAGTCCACTACACTATGCAGTCTCCATTCTGGACTCCTGTCATGACAATAATTCCTAATCACATAGCCCTTTTAAACAGTTCTCTCATCTGTTTCAATGCAGTATACATAATTTAGCCCATCTTTCTCAGTCTCCCCCCAACCCCTATGTCTGTCCCATTTCACAACTGTGGCTCTATGCAGTATTTGTCCTTTTGTGACTGAGATATTTCACTCAGCATAATGTCATCCAGGGTCACCCATTTTGTATAAAATGGCATGAATTCCTTGTTTTTCAATGCAGCGTAGTATTCTATTGTGTGAATATATCACAGCTTCTCTATCCATTCGTTTGCTGATGGGCATTTGGGTTATTTCCACCTCTTTGCTATTGTGAACAAAGCCGCAATAAACATGGGTGTGCCTATATCTGCCTGGGTGGCAGTTATGGTTTCTTTGGGGTATTTATCTATCTTCAGTTACGATTTAGAACTCACTCATTTACACATTTATGCATTCTTTTATTAATGAAGCAAATGGTTATAGAGCATTTACAGCATGCCAGGCGCTGTTCTCAACATTGGCGATAAACCAACGCCCATGTTCAAATATGACAATTTTGAGAATCTGTGCATGTACCAGATGTACTATGGAACTTCGAATTGAGTTTGTTCTCTGAGTAAGAACAGCCATGATTGATACGAAATACTCACACGAGCTCTCAAGGTTTTGTTGGGTGTTTTCTCCACAGTTAGGAGATTTATTAGGGAAATAGGTTGGAGAGTTGGAGGAGGCAAAGAATATCACACAATGTGAGTCCAGGTTTAGTCTAGCAGTCCCAAACCAGATTAACAGCAAGACACAATTCCTTGATTAGTGGAAGTCCAGGTTCAGTTCAGCAACACGAATGCAAGCTGTCAATGTCTTTTGATCACCTTCTAATCTGTCACTCTTTTCTATTCCAGGGAGAAGATAGCATTTTTCACCAGAACAAGGATTAACATGCTTCCTCTGCCAGCTGATGACGTCTAATGTAGTGCCTTGTACACATGAAGTATTTATCTGCCTGTTTTATTTCCAGGAAGTTCTTGTACTAGCTAAATTTATCTTTAAAATGTTTGTGCAGAGCTCTTAATATACACATTTTGTAAAAAACAAAAAACAAAAAAAACTGATATGTATACATATATATTTTATAATAGTGACGGCAACAAGGCTTGGCTTTTCCTTGTTGTGAAACTGACATCTCTGAAGACAGGTTATTTTATAAAAGATCAACTATCATGTTAAGAGTGTACAGTTTTTATGCTGTTTTATTTGACTTAAAGGCTGGAAGATAGAAACGAAGTGAGTGCAGGCAAATTCACTGTATTGTAATTTATTTATAGTACTTTTTTTCCTTGAAGGAAAATAATGACTTTAAGATATATTTTAAGACTGAAATTTTGTTATGTGTCATGCAGTAGAATGGAGCTTGGGGGCTGGTTTGGTTTCTGACACCTGAAATGCCAGCATAATGTGCTCAGTGCGTCCCTCGGGTCATGTTCAACCATGTGCACTCATCATGTATGTTGTATGCTTTGATGCTCTGTGTCTTATGTTCCAATACCAGCCGCTGTGTGTTGTAATTGTGATGCAAATGCCGTGTAAGCAGCGCAGAGCTCAGCCTCCTATTTGTGCTGGGCACTAACAGCTTCTTGTTTCCGTGTCGCCTCATGCATTTTTCTGAGCTCCCCATGAGTCTGGGGCAGGTGCCAGAGTCTCCGGCCACCCAGGTTTTTCGCCTGCTTGTCCTTGTGGGCTGTCTCCAGCACCCCTGCTCATCAGACAGTGCCCAGCCTGCTTTTCGAGCCTGCACCATTTCATTGCCAACAGACTCAGAAAGTGGCAGATGACCTCCTATTGTATCATGAGAGAAAATGAAAAGAACTGAGAACATGCATTTTCAGTGAAACCACTGATAAATATAGTGATTCAAACAGACACAACAACTCTGAAGATGTTTTATTTGTGAAAAGATTTGTGAGTAACTACAATTATCCAGTGAGTCATACACAAGAGAGTATCAGATTGAAATCTGAATACTCCCCTGATACTGGAGTCTACCCAATAATTCTCAAGGGTGCTTAAAATTAGCTCATGAGAAAAAAAATTTTCTATGTGACAAAAATACACCATCATTTTAAAATGCCAAATGATAGGACAATTTTTCTGATACATGTTTATTGTATCTGAAATGGACTTTTTCCTTTTAGAAACTTGGATGAGAAAATGAAGTGGAACACATAAATTGTAAAAGAAAATGCAACTCTCTCTTCCTGTATTTTGATTACCCTCCCATTGGAAATGTCCTTTTCAATCAGGGTCTTTCTTGTCATGCTAGTATGTAATCTCCCCCTCCTCTTATTAATCAGCCTTCCTTTTTACATTTATTAAAAATGAATTTTGTAAAAACATTTCATTGACACATGACCTATCACAGACAATTAAATTTGTCAGTGGTGGTAAGCCTGAAAACTATATGCTCTTGCTATGTATTCCTGCCGCTAGTCTTGCTGCTTTTTTTTTTTTATTTACATTGATTATTTTGTATACCCACAACAGAGGTAGAGGTAAACTCAAACCAGCAGTCCTTACCAGAATTGCCAGTCAACAGAAAATATTGCTGAGTGGTGAAGACAATGGCAAGAGCTTTCTATTCCTCCGATGGCTAACACTGTCAACAGACTTTAAGGTCTGTCACTAGACTCTAGAGTGCGTAGAGGATTAGTCAGTATGTCTCAGGCACATGGCACACTTGATGAGTTCCCTCACTGTGTTCTTCCATATGGCTGCTGCCACACATAGCTCTTTCTACAGGGGATGAGGCAGCTTTTCATTCAGACCTTATTAAGTAGCAGTAGAGGAAAACCCCACTGTGCTAAGGGGTTTAAAATAAAATTCACTAACTCAGTTTATGCAGCCTTATATTTGGAATGCCCCCCCAAAAGGTTTTTTTGGATTGTTTTTGTGTTTTTGTTGTTTTTTTTTTAATTTCACCGTTGCCCACAGACAAAATAATGGAGTCCCGACTTCATTGCCAATCCAAATGAGCTTGTGTGCTTGCCACCTTTCTGTTTAACCTTTGCCTTGCATGTGGATGCTTTTGTAGCTTACAGGGCACATAGTAAGGAAAGAAAATCAAGGTAAATGAAGGAAGAGGTGTTGACCGTCCACACTAAAGGGTCAATGGTTAATGTAAAGAGACTTGATCAAGCAGGCTGGAGGGCATGAAGCACCCTAATTTGCTTCTCACTTATGGGTTGATTTTGCAACTTCTGACGAGTTAACACTGCTACCTTCCGGAGAATACTCATATATATTCTCAGCAAAGAGTACTTTGGTTGTCTTAAGGTGGGTTGGTTTTTGGGGGGCTTTTTTTTTTTGCACCTTCCATCCTATGATTACATTTGTTCATAGTGTTTTCTGATGCAAAAAAATTCTGCTCTGTTTTAGCTGCAATTCTAATCAAGAAATTATCCAAATCCTGCCACCTGGCTTTTTTTAAACTACTATGCATAAAAGGGAATTTGGTTTTCACTTCATCTGATAACTGATTTGTCCAGCTTTGATTGATAACTGCTGAAATCAAGAATTCCTCTGTTGTGGGAAAATGTTATAATCAGTATTCATCTCTTTGTTGTTTTTTTTTTGTCACTGCTCTCTCTGTGTCTTTTGTATTGTTTGAAAGCATTTCTTCTATCAAATTAAACTAATCAGCCTTAAGAACAGAGTGGACCTGTGTTTTGCTTTTGTTCTTAATTTTTAATGGTAACTGTCATAACACATTGCTGTGGGAGTGGAACCAACTCCGAGCCAACCACCCAGCGGGTTTTCAGAGGTGGTCAGTGGCACAGGAGGAGACTGCCCATCTCTCCCCCCAGAGCAACTGGTGAATTAAAATTGCCTGCCTTTTGGGTTGGCAGTGCAACTCTTCACTAGGGCATCAGAGCTCTCTAATTTTCAATTACAGAGACTTTTAAGTATATTAAGATATTTTTTTATTAACTTAAAAAAGGAGGATAATCAGGGAGCTCTGGTGGCCTAGTGGCAAGAAGCTGCACTGCAATCCCAGAGGTACACAGTTCGAATCCACCAGATGCTCTGCTAGAGGAGGGGCAATCTCCTCTTGTACCAGTCAGATCTGATTTGATGGTACACACACAAAAATAATAAAAACAAATAAATCAAATAGAGGGGATAATACAACAAACCCCCTGGGCCTCTCAGCTTCAACATGGATGAGTTGTCAATCTTGTTTCATCTACACTCCCATCATTTCTTCCCCACCAATCCCATACACTGTGTCATTTAATCAGCAAAAATTCCAAAAAAGATGTCAAAAAAGAGACTAATAATCATATCCACTGTCCTCACATTAACAACTAATTCCTTACTATCAACCAGGATTCCATTTTCTAGCTGCCTCAGGGCATTTTTGGAACATTTTTCTTGAGATTCAGTGCAAGTATACTCCTTGGATTAGACAAACATCACTACCGTCAACTGTCGAATATTTGCACCACCCCAAACCCAATAGAGGATCACCATGAGTCAGAGTCCACTCAACCGCAGTGAGTTTGGGTTTGGGAATGGGTGGAGCAAGTGGTTTGCAACTGCTTACTAATGTAAAAGTTAGCAGTTTGAACTCAAGCAGTGGTTACTTGGAAGAAAGGCCCAAGGAACTGCTTTCCAGAAAATCTGGGGCAGTTCTACTCCGTGACATATGGGTTCTCCCTGAGCTGGAGTCTACCCGACGACAACATTGTTAATGGGTGTTAAGAGGTATACCCGTTGCACTTACGTCTGTGGTTTGGGGTTTGATTTTTATTAAAATACTGGTTTATTTACAAATGTCAGTGGTTTTTTAATCTAGAGAATCTGTAGATATTCCCCCCCTTCCATCCTACCTCTCCTTAATTTGCTTGTTAAACTGAGGTTTGAACCAAGCAAACTTCATTTAGCAGCCAAGCGCTCATCAACTGTGCCACCAGGGCTCCTTAGAGTAAAATTGATCAAGTGTTGCCAACTGGTGATACTCTAATTCTGTTGCTCTGTTTCATCGCCTAGCTGAAATGCCTTTATGAAGAGAAAGTTATTCCATATACTTGGTTGCCCATTGGTATCGTTTATACAGGACCAGGAATATTAACACTTGGTTCTTTTCTTGCTTTATTAGTTTTCGAAAGAATTAATTAGTCCTAAGAAATAATCCAGTATGTTAGCTGATAACCTCTTCACAAACACTATTTCTAAACAAGGTCAAGTTCCTAGCCCCCAGGTTGGAGGTTCAACCAAGGGGACACTGTTGTTGTTATGTGCCATCGAGTCACTCGACAACAGCCCTAAACTCTGCTCTGTCCTGTGCCAATCGCACTGTCTCTGACACTCCCATCCCGATTATCCCAGTCACTGAATCAATCCACCTCATAGAGGGCCTTCTCCTCCTGCGCCATCCCTCCACCCTACCAAGCATGATGTCCCTCTCCAAGGACGGGTCTCTCCTCACTACATGTCCGAAGTAAGTTAGAAGGAGCCTCAGAATCCTTGCCTCCAAGGAGCCACCCGGTTTAACCCTTTCCAGGACGAATCTGTTTTCCTAGCAGTCCATGGTACCCTCAATACTCTTCTCCAGCACCACAGCTCAAAGGCATCAATTCTCCTTCTATCCTTCTTGGTCATTGTCCAACTCTCTGATGCATAACAAGTGATTGTGAAGACCATGGCCTGTATTAAATGCACCTTAGTCTCCAGAGAGACACCACTGCTCTTCAGTACTTTGGAGAGGTCCCTAACAGCAGACTTTCCCATGGCAATGCGCCTTTTAATTTCCTGGCTACTGGTGCCAAGAGTGTTCAATCTCAGTCTCTTCACCATCCATCCTGATGCTGCCAATGGGTCCAGTGGTGAGAATCTTTGTCTTCTTGACATTGAGCCTCAATCCATATAGGAGGCTGCAGTCCTTGACCCTCTGCAGCAGGTGCTTCAGGTCC